TATGGCGGCCGTGGCTCGTTTGGCTTCAGCCCAGGTACGACTTGCTTCTTGGGCCATTTGTTCGGCAAGCTGTTCAGCTTGATGTGCTTCCTTGAGCTTTGACTCCTCAGCCGGGTCGAGATGGGGAGAGGCAGGACTGTTGTCCTTCGACTCGGAGTCGTTGTCCCAGTCCCAGGAAGTCTGGTCTTCGGCAGTCCAGTGTTGGTGCCAATCCTGATCCCACCACTGGACACTGGCATAGTGATCGTGCCATGGATCAGGTCGAGGGCCAGGTTCTTGTTCTTGAACATGTAGATGATGCTGTACAGCGTGAGGTTGGCGTTGTCCAAGAAGTTGATCGTCCCACAGCATTTGCAGCGCTCGACTGATGGAGTCGTAGTTCATGCTGTTTTGGGTGGTGCTGAGGATATCACGTTTTTCTTCACTGGTCAAGCTGGCAGCCTGTAGAAGACGCCAGCCACGCAGGACGCCCATAATGAAGGAGTCGGCAAGGGACATCTCGTCAATGACATCCACCTGAGTGATGTCCAGTTGAGGTTGCGCATGAGGGATGTCCTTGCCCTTGCCTTTGCTGCCAGGTCTGGAAGATCTGCCAGGGGAAGCACCAGGTGCAGCATCAGGGGAGCTGCCGTCCTGAGAGGCGTCCGTTGCCCTTGTTCTTGGTGGAGTGGTAGCTTCGTCGGGAACGGATTCATGCTCATCTTGATCTTGATCATCTTCTTGGAGAAAGGGCTCAGGTGAACCACTGGGGATGCCGAAGTCCTTGTCCTCCTGCTTGATGCCCTTGCGTTCCTCGAACAGACGAACCAGGGCTTCGGTGAACTCCGCGTAGCCGAGGGTCTCGCGGATGAGGAAGGCACTCATGCTCTCCTGGGGCAGCCGCTTGAAGGCGAAGTACTGGGCGCAGATGGCTGCCGTGTTGGGAAGGCTCTGTCTGACCAGAGGAGAGCCGGCCAGACGTCTGAGAAGATCTCGCGTACCATCTGGTGAGTCAAACAGTTGTAGAGGCCAAGACATGGCGAGGAGCCGTGCTGGGCCCGTCAATCGACTCACCAATTTGGTCGCGCAGTAGCGTTCATCACCCACCAGGCGACTTCACGGGTGTACCGTCTCCATGTCCGTGCAGATCCATCCCATTGTGGGATGTGGCCTTCCTTGTCTGACATCGTGTTGATGTTGAGGTTGAGCTGGAGGTTGCCGTAGTTGGTGTTCTCGTGGCCTGGTAGTTGATGTGTTCCAGGAGGTTGCCGTAGAGGGAGTTCAGGTGTGGGGAGATCTTGATGTTGTGACGCAGGAGGTCCTTGAGGTGTCCAGTGTGACCAGGGTGGTCCTCAACGTCGGTACCCGACGGAGATCTACACCTCAGTCTAAACCAGGTTGCCACCCTCAAGGTCGGGGCACGAGCCGAAGGCGAAGTGCGGGTGTTCCTCGGACTCCCGGATCGTGTAACCGTGCTCCGCTGCCAATGCAATGACCGGGGGTCAAGGAGGCTCGCAGCAGCCGAAGCGCACCTTTGCGCTGAGATCGAATGTCCACGCGCCCAACGGCGCGGTCGCAACCGTGGCTCGGTGTCGAGCGGACAAAGGGGCCCCTCTGTCTAGGGCCATGGTGGCAGCAGTGGATCAACAGTTGACATGTCACAACCGAAGGAATCGCAGATTCCCTTCTTCGAGGGGGAGCTCCCTAATTCAGGACTGGGTGCATTCATCAGGACTCGACATTACATGAAACTTGTGCACTACTTGTGCGAAATTCCTCCGAACCACCCCCCCCCCCCCGCCTGGCCTCTAGGCACATCCTTGCGATTTGTTTGCAGAAGACTGTGGGGTCTCTCAGGCCGCCGTTGTTTAGCCCATTCAAAACCCACAGCTCAACCCTCTGCTTGAAACTGGTCTTCTCCCTCAACTGGCTGGAGCGGACGCCCGCACGCCTTCCCTGAACTGGTGTTGTGTGCCTCTTGGGTTGAGCTGTTTTTGGGAACCTGAGTTCCAATCCCAGTGCCTCAGCGCGGACTTTTTTGGGGAGGTTGAATTCTTTCTGCCCGCTCGGGCCCCGGCCTGCCAGGGCCGATCACCCTCCTGGCGCTTTCTTCTTTCGATTTTTGGGGGGATCGCCCCTTTTCCCCTTTGTGGGGGTGAGGTTCTTTTTAGGTACACAAAAGGGAACCCCCCCCCCCCCCCCGCCCCCCAACCCCGGTTTTTCCCTTGTTGACCGATTTTGACACATACCCAGTTGTGGATGGAAACCCCTGGCTCAAGAAACAAGACATGGGAAATTGAAGCGCAATGTGAACCACCTATTGTCTGCCCACTGGGCGACAGCAATCAACCACACTTTGCCTACCAGGAAAGGTTGAAATCGGGACTGTCGCCTCCCCCTCTTTTCCAACGTTGAGTTTTCCCTCTGGTTCTCTCTTCGAAAAAAGAAAAAGAAGAAGAACAACACGCGCAACAATTGCCCAGTTGAACTCACGCCCAGTGCCTTGCAGTTCACCTCCGGGTATTTGTCCAAGAGGAAGGGCCCAAAGCCTGGGTCAGAAGCGAATGTCTGATCTCCCATGCAAGCCGCCGGAATACCAGCTCCTCATGATTGGTGAACTTGCTTTCTTTCTTCCCGGCTTTAGGCTCATCCCCTTGTCAACCCGGCCCTTTTCATGCTTGCTTTAAGAAGCCAAAGGGAAGCTGCGCACATGTTGAGTATCTCTGGTGATGGGCAAACCCAAACAGGCCCTGCAACAACATACCTGCCCCGGCAAACGTTCTCCGAGCCACTGCAGCGCTTGAACTCGAGAACCAGATACCGGGACCGGTACTTCTTCATGGTCTTCGCAAAGCTCGCCTTGTCTCCCGCTGAGCTACAACTTCACCCAGGACGTGGGGCATTGAGTGAGCCAGTTCTTGTGTCCACGCCCCTCCCAAATGGACAACGGGCTCGCACGCAATGAAGTATGCCAAAAGCCTTTGCAGGATGGTTCTCCAAAAAGCCTCCCGTCCACTACGCCCTAAACGGGAACGGGGAGCCTCCCGCCCTAACTTGAGAGGTGCCCCACAGATTTGGGACCAGGTTCCAACCCCCAACTTGGGAACTGGCTTGACAACTTGGGACCGTGTCAGTTGCAAGCCAACTGGAGTCGAGTCCTTTGGCGTCCCCCTTAAAAGCACAAAGCTGGGCGGGCCTATATGGATCAGCAGATGGGACCTTGCGGGTTTCTAAGCACCTAATTATCCTTGGTGCAAGCCAGAAGCCGTTGATTAGAACCCGTTGAACGGGCCCTCTGATTAGTTTCGAGAGGTTGCCCCGTCAAACACCCCAAAACAAGGCTCCCTGCTGCAGGGAATCCTCCAAATCAGCTGGCGGTTGGGTGATTTTCCACTGGCCAGGTGTATTTTGTGAGGGCTCCTGCAAAGGGCAATGAACTGCCCGCAGGGCGCTTGGGGCGGCTTTGGGCCAAGCTTCCTTTGATTTCTCTGCCCAATGAAAGAGGTGTTCAATGGGCGGGTTCTTTGCTTCTATGGTCGAAACATGGCGACCCCAAATTGGTGGTGGTCCTTCTGCGTTTGGCCGACCCAGAAAAGGTACTCCCAAACCACGAACACGCACACAAAAAAAGAGAAACAAGTAATTATGTTGCTTTGCTTCTCCCTCAGCCCCTCTCCCTCCCAAAAAAAAAGTGAGTGGTCACAAGGTTGTAGTCGAAACTCGGGAGGCGTGCACTGGTAGAACTGGTACAGCTCCTGCGTGACATATGGCCACTCCTTCAAACCCAGGCATCTGCCTGAAACAAAACTGGAGGACCCGGAGCTTCTGTCTTGGACCTCCACAGTTTACCTGCTGGTCCCAGTCCCAAAAACGACGCTTTCCACTTTCCCCAGCCTAAAAGTGGGGGAGAAGGGCCTTCTCAAGCACCCCGCCGGCCTGCACGCGGTCGCGGAGATGCTGGGCCTGACAGAACGCACATCCATCTAATGGCCCTTTGGGCCATCTGTGCGCTCCCGCCTTGCTTGCCGGTCCGGACAGCCCACCGGGTGTTTACATCAAGCTCAATAGACGACACCTGAAAAGCAAATGGTTTCTCTAGATTCATGTTCCTCTTGTCATGGGGCCTCCGCCCAGTTCCAGAGTGGAGACAGAGTGGTCTAGGGTTCAGGGTTCGGTTCCAAAAGTCTCCCAAGCGGTTGGCTCTGGACTGCGGACTCACAAGGGTCCGGTTCCCTGTGAGCCTTTGCTTTGCTTTCAAGGGAGTGGCTGGATGGTGCGGAGCCGTGAACCACCCGGGCAGTTGTTGCGTTCAGAGGATATCACTAAAACGTGTTACCATCGGATTCTGGCTTGCATGTCCAATTCTGGCGTTAAATGTCTCGAATGATGGTGGATTTGAGAAGTCACCAGAGTAATTGACGCAGCCAAGCCCCATTGCACTTCCCAGTTGTGTGGTCGCAAAATCGAAAACCCGAACAAATGAGTGGCTTCCCTCTGAACTCGTTGCCATCCCGAAAATCTCATCAATTCCTACACCGACGGGGTCGAAGAGAAGCAAGCCCGGATATGGGTGATCCACTTGCATCTTGCCCTCGTCTGCTTTTACCCACGGAGTTAACCTACAAAAGGGCCTCCCTCATTGACTCATCGGACCCCTTCCCTCTGCATAGGGGAGGGTCCCCTAGCCCGGGCTCAGCGCATCCGGGCGCGAAACGCCTCGAACTGCGGGTGGATGGCGAGCTTCAGCGGCGTGGCAAGGCGCAGCTCCGCCGAGAGCGTCATGGCCGCCAAGACAATCTCCTCCTTTGGCACGTGGCGCCTGGCGCAAAGTGAGCGAGCCGCGACCTGTCGGAACCGACGCCAACGTGAAGCGCGCCGGGGTTCCGGGCGGAACACGGGTGGAGGCTCCAGTGAAACCCAACAACTGCAGGAAGCAAAAGGAGAGGGGGTCCAAGTCTGGATGCCAAGTGGTGGGGGAGGGGGGGGGAAGCAACCTGTTGTCTTCCCGGGGTGAAACAAACAATCACATATCACATGCCCAACATATTGCAAGTAGGGAACCCATATAAAAACTTGTAAATGCTAATGGTTTCTGGCTGGCTTGTTTCGCAACATTAAGGGCATCCATCGTGCCTGCCACCCACACGTCCGGGTCAAACGGCGCCAAGCTCCGGCTGGCGCGTTTCGCTTCTCTTGGCCGAGGGGCGTCATCCAGTTGAAGAACTCTCCGCGGTCGCCGTCCGGCCAGGCCTTGTCTGCATGGATGCCTCAGCTCGGCCCACCAAAAGACATCGGAAGACCTGATGTGGGCATATGGCCATGGGTCACAAGCCCTTACCCCCAGTGAACATCCCAATCCTCACTGAAATAGACCAGAATGGGTAGTGCACCTACCCCAAAATGGTACCATTGGTTTTGACCCACAGCCACATGTCCAACGCAACCCATGTGTGTCCAAAACGGGTGGATTGGATGTTCCCCGTTTGATTTGCTCAAAGGATCATCATTTCACTGCGTTCTTGTTTCAAGGATTTGTTCTCGCCTGCGGTGCGCAAATGCAAGCTGACAAAACCTGTGTCAGAAGGCGCTGGGTCCAAAATCAAAAGCACTGAGCTTCTCAAGGTGGTTGTGCAGTTCATGTGTGTATCCCCTTCACGCACCAGTCACGGGGGGGGGGGGTGTGGGGCGGGTGTCCCATCTTCATCCACCATGGTCCCCCACGTCCATCGCCATAGAAAGGGACCCGAGAACTCCTCAAGCGCAGTTTGGCCCAAAGCAAAGACCACAAAAATGATCTGGGAAAGCAGCCCCCTTTCAGACCCGGCCGTGTGCAATCGACAGGTTGCAAATCAAACAGCCGGCGCGCTGCAAACAGTTGGGATGCATCGTTTTTGTGAAAAACTGGACTGACCCCATGCCCCAAGTCCGGACCCTCAGCCCCAAGCCCAGCGGAGCTAGCGGCTGGCGTGGCGGTTTTCGATGAAGGGCAGCTTGCTGCAGAGGAAGGCCAACCGCCCCAGCTGCGCCCCGGCCGCCAAGAGAATCACCGCCAGCCTGGCTGGGCCCCCGACTTCCTTTGCATAAAGTCTCTAGATTTTGGTGTGGATGTGGCGAATCTGATCCATTACCAAAAAGATTGCTTGATTGGCACGGACGATCGGCCTGGCCGGAAGTCTGAACTTCTGGTTTGGTGAATTGTTCCGCAAAAACCGCCAAAGACCTGGAAAACTGACCGGCTCAATCCCAAGGTCCACATCCAGGGAGATGTCCGTGGTACTTTTTCGCGGGCACTGGCATAGACTTGGCATCCCTTAGGTTCTTTTGAGCCCTCGGCGCATCTCCATTCTGCATGTTCAAACAGCTAGCCTCCATGGCTTATTTGAACATTAAGGGGGAGCCAGGTAGGGAGAATTCCTGTCGAATCTTGCAAATGGATTGCTTCGTAGGTGGCTTCGTCCTGGTCCCCACGGGTTCGCGCCGCGCCTCAGCCAGCGGCCTCCGCTGTCAAGGCCCAGCAGCACTTGCAGCTGCCGTGGGGAGCTGGCACTGCAGGCCAAAAGCAGCAGGAACGGAGCCCCGATGCCTCGCACGATTGCAAAGCCCCCTTGGCCTCGCACGATTGCAGACGTCTATCACCGGGTCAGAAAAGTACTCAATCGATGGGGTGACAGGAGTGTTCAATGGGCGCGTCTTTTTGAAGGCTTCAGGGAAATGAAGAGAAACATGAAATATGAAGCTCCAAAGCTCTGCGACGCAACAACGCGGAGCCAGAGAGGCACGTAGGGCAGCCTGACATTTGCTAGGACCCGCATCACTTTCAATCTTCGGACGCCAAGCTTCAAGCAGATAAATGTCCAGCATATGTCTAGCTTAGTTCCTGCCGATGTCTAGCACGGTCCTAGTCTGGCAAATGCTCGTTGCCGTGCCTAGGTCATGATGTGCTTAGTTGAGTGGCATTGGCTGGCATATCATCTCAACTAGTGGACGTTTGGTACTTCGACGCTGCTGCTTCGGCGGCAGCGCCGCAGGCATCCAAAGAATGTTGACTGGCATTGCTTTGGCCGCATCTTTGCTGCCTCGGATCCAGGCAGGCGAATAGTGCTGGTGATGCATTGGTCACCAACTCTACTGGTTTTTCTGCTAAGGCGTACTGTCAGTCGCCATGTCCGGCCGCGGCGTCATGTCCTGCAGCATAACTGCATGCAGACCGGGATGATCTGCAAAACCCCGCACTTTTAGATGACGCTTGCATATGGGCCGAAAATTAATTTGGGTTATTTTGCAGCACTTTCTCACGAAATGTGCGTATTTTACACTATCCCGTCAACATCATCAGCATCGTTTTCAACATCCCCTGCATGTCCAGCCAACATCCCCGGCATCACCAGCAAAACGATTTATGGCTTCCTACATCCTCATCCTCAGCATCATCAGTTCCTCTGGTAACAGTCAGGATTCAAATAGGGGTGCAACTCAAATATCAAAAAAATAGCGGGGGAGTTTGGGGGGGACGGACGGCACTCCCATGATGATCACAAAAGTGATGATTCAATTAGGGGTACATTTAATCTCTGCCAAAAGTCTAAAAAGTGGCGGGGGCGGCAGCCACCCAAATGTTCGAAAAAGCGATGATTCAATTTGGGGTGCCTTTTAGTCGAAAAAGTGATGATTCAAACAGGGGTGCATTTGAATCTCTGCATAAAAATCAAAAGTGGGAGGGGGGGCTGCCCCCCTAATGATGTTCGAACAAGTGCACGCGTGCAAACTTACATACATAGATTATACCTACATACTTACATACCTACATGTCTATATACCTACGTACATACATAACCCCCCCATGATGATCGAAAAGTGATACTTCAATTAGGGGTACCTTTTAATCTGCGCAAGCAAATCCAGAAAGTTGGGTGGCGGGGGTGGCGGCGGGGTGCGCCCAAAAAAAATGCAAAGGATGCGAAAAGCCAAAGCCAGAAAAGCCACCAACGCCCCAAAAGCCACATAAACCTATGAAAAAGCAACAAAAGCCAAAAAGCAAAAAAGCCACCCACCCTGAAGAGAACAAAAAGAACTAAAAAATGGCCCTCCTTTTGACGCTTGGTGCTGCATGCGCAGCTGATGCTGCATCACCAGCATCATTTGGATGCCTTGTGCAGCAATGCCAGTCTGCATCACCAGCAGCATTTGGACGCCGGGTGCTGTGGACGCCTTGTGCTGCAACGCAATGCCAGTCTGCATCAACAGCATCATTTGGAAGCTGGGTGCTGCTGAGGCAGCAATGCCCATCTGCATCACCAGCATTATTTGGACGTCTCGTGCTGCAAACGGCTGAGGCAGCAATGCTAGTCTGCATCACCAGCTTCGTTTGGAAGCTGGGTGCTGCTGAGGGAGCAATGCCCATCTGCATCACCAGCATTACGTCTCGTGCTGCAAGCGCGGCTGAGGCAGCAATGCCAGTCTGCATCACCAGCAGCAAGGGCTGCAGGGAGCACGGCCCGTCTGCATCACCAGCATTATTTGAACGTCTCGCGCTGCAAGCGTGGCTGGGGCAGCAATGCGAGCCTGCATCACCAGCATCATTTGGACGCTGGGTGCTGCAAGAGCGGCTGAGGGAGCAATGCACGTCTGCATCACTCGCATCATTTGGACGCCTCGTGCTGCAAGCGTGGCTGATACAGCAATGCCAGTCTGCATCACCAGCGTCACTTGGACGATGCATGCGGTGGCAGCAATGCCAGTCTGCATCCCCAGCAATGCCATTTTGCATCACCAGCATTCTTTGGATGCATGTTGATGCAAGCACAGCCCAAAATAGCAGTGCCACCTGTCACTTTCAGTATTCCCTGCCACTGCAAGCACAGCTGAAGCAGCAAGGCCAGTCTTCGCATCACCAACATTACTTGGACACCTTCTGCCAGCACTATTTCATGCCTGCTCATTTTGACTACTCGGATGGCCAGAGCACATGCAATGCCGACTCGCATCACCGGCATCATGCGGACTCCTGGTGTGCAAGCGTGCAAGCGAATGAAGCAGCGATGCCAGCATTATTTGGATGCCTGTTGATGCAAGCGCGGCCCAAAGCAGCGCTGCCTACCCGCATGGTCTTTATTAGCTGACGCGCCGGCTCGCACCATCCGGACGCCTCAGTCGGCATCTGCAGCATTACTCGGACGTCTGCTGGCGCAGGCGCAGCTAAAGCAGCAACGCCTTCATCACCAGCATGCTGTGCACGCCTGCTGCTGAAGCTGCTGTGCCAACACGAATAAATCACGAAAGGGAGGCGCCATACACGAAGAAACATGTTTTGTCTTCAAATGCGGCATTGCCTTCAGCCTTCCTTTTCGGTCCATTCTGTTATGGCTGTGCCGTTGCCCACGCCGTCACAGTGGACCTGCTCTGCAATCAACTCATTTCGAGGCTCAAGTATTTGCAATCCAAGGCCTCAGACCGACTACCAAGCACCAAGCAAAGAGTGACAGGCATTCGCACCGCAGAGCATCCAAACATAAGATTATTCAATTCCGGCATCCCTATTTTCAGGATGCACTCCCAAAAAGAATCAGCGTGAAGCCCATAAACGCCCCCCCCCCAAGAGATGCTGCGCAGCGGAGTATCATAGGAGATGACTGCACTACATACATGATTGTCCGGTCATGAGGTAGTTTGGTTTACAGCACTCCACGACCCATTCGAATCATGTGGGCCCTCGGGGCTTCTCAAAAAAGGCGGACCCAAGAAAGGAAACGAGCCATTTCAGTTTCGGAGCTACATGTAGGAGCCTTGCAAAAACACATCAATCTTCACAACCCTTTCTATGGCCTTGCAAGAAAAAGACTTGCGGTTTCTTTGCAGTTCAAAAATGAACTGGGAAAAACAACTTGATCCAACGGCGAAACTTGCGTTTATTGCAGCCCACTAAAAATGAGAACAAAGAAAGAAACTGCTTCCAAGAACCGCGAAGGTTTTGGCGATGCTCCACTTTCTCGCACGACGCTTGGTCCAAGTGGCACTTCAGACGGCTGATGAAGGCTCCGAGCACCAGAAACAGCGCCGTCTGCACCAGCAGCACACAACAGGCGAAGGCATAGGCGTAGTCTGGGACGGGAAAATTCCCCCCCCCCCCCCCGCCAATGGTTCAGCTGAAACAAATGCGGCATGATGTGGGGGCCCGAAATATCGCTTGTGGATTTGAGGTGAGCTTTGCGGAAAGCCATGCATATTTGTTGGTTTCAACCTGGAACCAGGGAAGCCAAGGACATCATCATACAAAGGAGTTTCCTACCTTTAGGGAAAAACACATGTCCTGGATGTCCTCAGATCCCGGAAGCAACAAAGGAGGCCCTTGTTTCAGGGTTATTGGGAGCTGTTCGAACCATTGGACCATCCCAGAAAGTAAACAAAGCCTTCAAATGCCAACAGGGACAGGCAGCGCATTCATTCCCAATCAGCCACTTGCAGTCATAGGTGTGGACAAAATGTTGGACAACTCAAACCTCAGAGCCCGGAAAGCCAGTCTCTGCTTCGTTTTCCCAGAAACCGTGACTGCGTGTCTGCCTGCCAAAAAATGTGTCTGAAGGCTTGCTTCTACTGGACCCTCTCCATTTCAGGGGTCACGAACCAAATGTCTAAGAGAACTGGACCCGAAGGACGTGGTAACAGCTCTTGATGAGCCACCCTTGGGACTCTCAACTGCAACCAGCAGTTGGCACAATGGGTATGAACTTGAAGCGGGAATGGATGTCCGCCGGCCATTTTGTAGGGTGTCCTCTGTTAAATCCATAGCCGAACAGCCCAGGATCCTGGATTGGGATGAGGGATATGCCGCGCTTGAACCACAAATCACTCCCAAGCTGAAAGTAGGAGAGTCCTTGAAGACCATTCGCCCCCATTTGCCGGCAACACCCCTGCCAATGGACAAAGGACCAAATTGGGGGGGAGGGGGGGTGCAGTGGACACTCCTGCGCCATTTTACGGCAACATTCCCGTGTAAAGAGCGATAGCCGCGACTACGGCGGGCCCTGCGGGCGCGGGCGGGGCGCGCGGGCGCGGGCGGGCGCGGCGGGCGCGCGGCGCGGGGCGGGCGCGCGGGCGCGGCGGGCGCGGCGGGCGCGGGACGGCGGGCGCGGGCCGATGTGCGCGGCGGGCGTGGGCGGCGCGGCCATGTGGGTGCGGCAGCGCGGGCGCGCGGCGAGAAATGCGGCACGGCGGCCGGTGGCGTGGGCCCGATCGCGGCGGGCGCGGTGAGCGGCGGTGCGCGCAAGCGCGGCGGGACGGCGGCGCGGCGGGCGTCGCGGGCGCGGTGGGCGCGGTGGGCGCGGCGGGCGCGGCGGGCGGGCGGGCGGCGGGGGCGGGCGGGCGCGGCGCGCGCGGCGCGGCGGGGCGCGTGCGGGCGGACGCGGCACGGCACGGTGGCGCGGGCGCGCAGGCGCGGGGCGCTGGGCGCGGTGGGTGCGGAGGCGCGGCGGGTGGCGGTGTGCGGGCAGCGGGGCGCGGGCGGCACGGGGCGCGGCGCCCGGGGCGTGGCGGGGTGGGCGCGCGGAGCGGGCGGTCGGGGCGGGGGGGGCGGTCGGTGCGTGTGGGCGCGGCGGGTGGGGTGCGGCGGCGACGGGCGCGGCGGGCGGGTGGTGGCGCGGCGGCGCGGCGCGCGCAGCGGGCGCGGCCGTGCGAGCGCGGCAGCGCGGCGGGCCGGCGGGCGCGGCGGGCGCTGTGGGTGCGTGCGCGGTGGGCGCGAGGTGGCCGCGGCGAGCGGCGCGGGCGCGTGCGCGGGCGGGGGCGCGGACGTGGGGCGGCGGGCGGACGGGGGGCGCGCGGCGCGGGGCGGGCGACGGCGGCGAGCGCGGCGGCGCGGTGCGCGGCGCGGCGGGCGCGGCGGCGCGGCGAGCGCGGGCTGGGCGCGGGCGTGGGCGTAGCGCCGGGCGCGGCGGGCGCGGCGGGGCGCGGCGGGCGCGGGGTGCGGCGAGCGCTGCGGGCGCGGTGGGCGCGCGGACGCGGCGCGGGCGGGGCGCGCGCGGGCGTGGGGCACGGGCCCGGTGGGTGCGGCAGCGTGCGGGCGCGCGTGGCGCCGCGGGCGCGGCGGGGCGCGGCGGGCGTGGCGGGCGGGCGTGGCGGGCGGGGGGGCCGGGCGCGGCGGGCGGGGGGCCGGTGGCGGCGGGCGCGGCGGGCGATGGGCGGGCGCGCCGGGCGCGCGCGGCGGCGCGGCGAGCGCAGCGGGGGCGCGCCGGCCCATCGCCGCCGCGGCGCGGCGGGCGTGGGCGCGGGTGCGCGGCCGCGGCTCGCGGCGGGCAAGCGCGGCGGGCACTGGCGCGAGAGCACGGCGGGCGCGGCGGGCGCGCGGTGCGCGGCGGGCGCGGCGCGCGGGAGCGCGCGCGGCGTCGGCGCGGCGGGCGGGCGGCGGCGGGGCGCGCGGCGCGGCGCGGGCGCGGGGGGCGCGGCGGTGCGGCGGCGCGGGCGCGGAGGGCGCGGGGGGTGGGGCGGCGTGGGACGCGGCGGGCGCGGCGGGCGCGGCTGGGCGCGCGCGGGCGCGCGCGCGCGCGGCGAGCAGCGGGCGGGGCCGGCGGGGGGCGCGCGGAAGGCGCGCGAGCGGGCTGCAGGGGCGCGGCGCGGGGGGGGCGCGTGAGCGCGCGAGCGCGGCGAGCGCGGCGGGCGCGGCGGGTGAGGCGGCGCAGCGGGCGAGCGCGGCTGGCGCGGCGCGAGCGGGTGGGCGCGGATGTGCGTGGCGGCGGCGGTCCAGGCGCGGGCCCGGGCGCGGGCGGGCGTGGGAGGCGGGCGCGGGCGGGCGCGGCCGGGCACGGCGCAGGCGCGTGGCGTGAGCGCGGCGAGGCGGCGGGCGCGCGGAGCGCGGCGGGTGCGGCGCGGCGCTGCGGGCGGCGCGGGCCGGGCGCGGGCGCGGGTGGGCGCGGCGACGCGGCGCGGGCGCGATGTGCGCGGCGGGCGTGGGGCGCGACCCGGTGGTGCGGCAGGCGCGGGCGCGGTGGGCGACGCGGGCGCGGCGGGGCGCGGCGAGCGCGCGCGGCGGGGGGCGGGGGGCCGGGCGGCGGCGGGCGCGGGCGAGGCGCCGCGGCGAGGCGGCGCGCGCGCCGCGCGGGCGCGGCGGGCGCGGCGGCGCGGCGCGGGCGCGGGGCGGGGCGCGGCGGGCGCGGCGGGGCGGGGGCTGCGGGCGCGCGCGCGGCGGGCGCGGGCGCGGCGGCGCGTGCGGGCCCGGGCGGCGGGGCGCTGGCGGGCGCGGGCGGGCGCGGCGGGCGCGGCGGGGCGTGGCGGGCGCGGGGCGCGCGCGAGCGCGGCGGGCGCGGCGGGCACGGCGGGTGCGACCGGGCGGCGGGCCCGGGGGGCCCGGTGGGGGGCGGCGGAGGCGGGCGGGCGCGGCTGGCGGGCTGGCGCGCGCGTGCGGCGCGAGCGGGCGCGGTTTTCGGCTGGCGGGGCGGGGCGCGGTGCGGCGGCGGTCACGGGCGCGGCGGGGCGCGGCGTTCGCGGGCACGATGGGCACGGCGGGCACGGCGGGCGCGTGCGCGGCGGGCGCGGGGGGCGGGCGCGGGAGCGCGGCGCGCTCGCGGGCGGGCGCGCGAGGCGGCGTAGCGGGCGCGGCGGGCGCGGCGAGCGCGGCGGGCACGGCGGGCGCGGCGGGCCTTCTCCTATTTGCCATACTGGCACTCTGCAGTCTTGTGCCCAGTGGCCAGGCTTGCCACATCGATGGCATGTTGTGTAGTTGTTGTTTCCTTTTCCTTTTGGTTTGCTATAGTTTCCTTGGCCTTTGTAGCCTTTGCTTGATCCATATCCTTTGGATCCTGAGTAGCCTTTTCCTTTGCTCTTGTTGTATCCTCCTTTGTTGTAGTTTCCTTTGCTGCCTTTGTCGAACACTTTGTAGTGGCCTTTGTTTCTGTACTTGCCTTTTCCTTTGTTTCCTTTGTAGGATCCTTTGCCTCCATATTTGCTTTTGCCTTTGTAGTTTCTTCCTTTCCTCCAAATGTTGTTCACGTCCATGGGTGCTGTTCCACCATTGTAGTTTGTGCCAACCGCTGAGCTCGCTCTTGAGAATGCAGATATGGTCTTGTAGTAGTCCAGGATGACAACTCTGATCTCGTTGTAGTTCGTGATCTGTCCAGCACGTAGTTGGAGATGTTGTTGAAGTGCTCCTTTGGTCTTGTTGAGTAGTATTGCAATCTTCACTCCATCTGGTAGTGCTGTGCCGTTGTCTTTCTCGTAGCGGTTGATGTCATACTCCCACTGTAGGGATTGTTCTTCAAATTGTGCTTCATTGAATGTAGGTTCCAGTAGTTTGGTGAGGTAGCCAACACTGCGTGTTCCTACTGGTAGGCTGAACCTGTTGTGCAAAAGCCGTAGTGTTTCACATCCATTGGCATTGTAGCGGTTTTGTCTGACCACTGTAGCTGCTGCACCTTGGCAGATGTTGATGAGGATGTAGTGTAGATCTCGTGAGAGGTCTACTGCTTTTGCTGCCTGTGTAGGGTCGCGTATGTGGGCTCTGATGTCTGCATCTTCAATTTGTCTTGTAGCTGCTTGTGCTAGTTGTAGTACCATGTCGAAGTCTCGGTCGATGAGTCCGAGATATGCTTGTAGTTTGCACAGCCACTCTTCGTACTGTGAGTAGTCACCAGTGAAGAACGGTGGTGGCAGTTTGTATTTGTGTAGCCTACGTCTTCCTGCTCCTGTGTTGTTCCCGTAGTTGTGGCTCCTATTGTCTCCTCTGCTGTGGGCCCGTTGTCTGCTCCTGTAGTTGGTTGTGCTGATGCTGCTGCTGGTTCTCCTGACATGTCGTAGTAGTTGGGCATGTGGTTGCCTGTGCAGTTGTATTACTTATTGCTGTTTCTGGAGCTCCCCCTATATGTTTAGAATCTCAGCTCCGCTACCACGTTAAAATACGTCGTTACTTTACTACAAGTGCATGTGTTGTTTATGCTGTCACAAACACAAATGTAGTTTCCCAGCATGCGCTCTTTTGCTTGTAGACTCAAGGCCTGCGGTCGAGTAGTGTACATCATGCATGTACAAGGGACAAGTAGTACAGCATGATATTTGACAGAAGAGAGAGAGAGAGAGAGAGAGAGAGAGAGAGAGAGAGAGAGAGAGAGAGAGAGAGA